TGACGATGTGAATATCTTTTCATCGACAACTCGATTAGCGCAACAGCAAGGTCTTTATATGTTTGATTCAACAAAATTGGGTGCAATCATCAAGGCAATGAAGTCCGGTGGTCTTCTATTACGCGCTGAAAATGCACCATTTCCAGGATACTCGACTGCAATTTAGAGTTCCCGAAAATTGCAGTGTGCGAAAAGTGTCCGAATGCCTATTATCGACTAACAAAATACAGTAGTATCGATCAGAGTACCAGGGCGGAAATCGAAAGCGCTTCAGCATCACCCAGTGGGCTTAGTATTCCGATGTTTTGGGGCCCTCTTACCAATCTCTGCGTAACCACAATGACCTATTTACTTCGAAGCGCAATAACTTAACCCAAGTCAAATGCACGTCCGCTGGAGTCTCTTCTTGGGGCCGGGACTTAATAAAAGGGGCAACAGGACAATAATCAACCCAGGAGGCCTTTTAGATTTTAGCTTTGTTGAGCGAGCACTCGAGATTCTAAAAGTCAGAATCAGAATCATTAAGATGAATAAATGGAAAGCTAATATCAATTGAAAGAAGCATTATCCTTGCGGCTAGAATGATGACGCCGAGCGTTAAGGACCTGATGGGTATCCATCAGTCGGACTACATACACGAAGTCGAGTTATCCCATATCTGCCGGGATATCTTGCGCAGCCCCTCAACATATTGTCCGATAACCAATCCTAAAGTCTGCATTTTCCATCCCCTAGGCCCCTAGTGCTACAAACCAGGCGCAGGGCCATATCCCCTGCTAGACGGGGTATGACAACCTATTTTGCAGCTTTCTTGCCACGGGGGTTCTCGGGCTCATTGCTGCCTGCTCTTGTGCGCTTTGCAGTAGGTGGTATTCTCTTGGACTATGAACCGTCATCCAGGATATAGGCACCCCCCAGGAAGAGTTTCAAGTCCTCGGTAACAGCGATATTTTTTGGGTTGATATAGATATGTCGTCTGCATCGGGTTTCCAGAGTATCAAGTGTAGCACCATCTAGCCAGTCAACCAAGCTGTTTGCTTTGAATATAGCTTCTAGAGAATTTTGTGGTGATTTTGGATAGAGAACTTTCTGAACTCCCTCTTCATTCTTCAAAGTTACGCGAAAAGCTAAACGGGATGCTGGGTCGTCCGTTAATCTGGATATAACAAAGGCATTAGGATGTTGTTTTCCAATTGGTGCGATCTCAGCTTGAACTATAATCCCATCCTTATTATCCTTGGTGCAGTAGCCCTCAATCTCGATCCGATTAACAGAATGAACGTTTAGCATAATACCATTTATTTTGCGACGTTCTTTATTCCTGTGCCTGGAATACCAATCATACCCATGATAAAGGCGCCCGCTTAGTAGGCTCACCTGTGTCTTGATCTCTAGTTGTGTTAGCTCGCCGTAGGCGGGATCACGGTGACTTGTAGACGTCCACTTCCTGGTACTGGTATCCCTGGCACATCTGGACACTCGTGCAACTTCAACCTGAACTTTTCCGCTCTGGGAGGGCAGTAGTGTTAGTCCTGTCGCTTCAAGGTCATCTCTTTCGCCCGCAGCGATTGCCCCAGTGAGTTCCTTAATATCCAGAGTGTCTGACTCATCATCATCCTCATCATCGTTCTCCAAAGGCTTATGGCTCTTAGAAAATGTATCATATTCAATTGAGCCACCAGCATCTGAAGGAATGGTTCGAGCTTCCTTGCGCCATTCTTCCTGCATCTCATTATAAAGGTCCCTCATCTCTTGGAGCTTCTCCACGGGAAAGACACGTGGACCATTTTTTGTCTTCGCCTTCAGCGTATCTTGACAGTGGACACACCCTTAGGTCTTTTCGGCAAACATATGAAAAGTAGAAATATAGATGCTGCAAAAGACCCTCCAACAGCCTCAAGACGCTCGAGGGTAGCTCTTGTCCGAAAGCCCTTTCGATCCAGCCAGGCACGAATACCAGTATCAACAGAGTCTGCGGTTATCATCTGCTTATGTTTTCCGTCCCGTTCATCGCAGTAGAGCTTGATTATCTGTAGACCTACCAGTGTTCGCTCATAGAATGTAGTATTTCTGATTTTCTTGAACCCTGCCATAACCGCACTGAATCTGAAGATTTCGCACCATTGAACCACCTGCTTTCCAGCGCTCGCCCATAACATTGACAGTGGCCTAGGTGCGTAGATATAGACCCGCTTTATACAAGCTTCATTTATCTCAACATAAGCTTTCACCTTGATTCCCCTAAAACTGAGGTGAATCTGGCGACCCAGGCCTAGGAGCTGTATAACTTCAGCATCACTAAAAATGATAATCCTTAGGTTGCTTGCTTGAATAAGACCCTTATTGGCTTTGCTTATAATATCAGCTTCATCTGGCCTTATCTGGATAAAGGAAAGAGATGTTGATAGCTTGATGATTTCCTGGGTGAATATAAAAGGCCAGATAAGCGAATTTTCTTCGGAGAATCCACTTTGTCTAATACCCCAAGGAACTGCGCATTCGCCGGCCGCACCATATAACGGTGGTTGGCTCTCTTTAAGATAGTTATGCTGGTCCAGTATTATCCCAACCTGGGCCTTGAGAGTACCTCTAGGCTTAACAATCTTTTGGGGCTCTCTAAAAGAATCTTTAACTGTACGCAAGCAGGACTCCATGTTGAATGGTTTTGTGAGCAAAACTGTAGTATCCAAGGACTGTAAAGCAGAGATCCCAAGTTGTGTGCTTACAGCTGATGTCAAGATCCTCAGATAGTCATCGCGCTTCAGAACGTTGTCAGTCCGGTGTTGAGATAAGGGCTGGTCTTCTAACTGTTGCTTTGATCGATATTGTGGCCATGTCCTAATCTCTATATCTGGCAAGTCTTCTAGTTGGAGTGAGTAGGTATATCGGGCATGTTGGCTAAGCGTGATTCCCCGAAGAAGTGGCGGAACGACATTCAGGCCAGTACCAGAGTATTCTGCCTTACCAAAGTATTCTTCAAGAATCCCCGGTGCAAGGGACTGGAAGCATCTGGCCATAAACATCTCAAGGATATTAGCAAACACCATAGAGATATGTTTGTTAATATAATCTGGCCAGACAAGAGTCCAGAGTTTTATAAAGTTAATCGCGCGGTGCCCAGCTCCTTTAGCTATTATATAATAATGCAGCGTACTCTCTGCACCGTTGATAATAGCCATAAGGTGCTGCCGCATCCGTCTCTTAGGGTCCACTGATTGTCCAACATATGGACGCCAATAGTCTGCGTTGCGATCATCGGTAATAAAGCTTAGGTAGCCACTACCTTTCTCCCATACCTCGGTTGCAGCTTGCTTCTCACGCACTTCATGCAGCCTATGTCGAATTAGTACAAGTGTAGTAAGATAGGCCTCACTTACATCTTTGTAGTTATCACCTTGTTCTCGAATTGTTTCACTCCGGGATGGATAGCTTCTGCCAAGATCTCTACACTATTATCTCCTCCTCCTAGGGCCATAATCGATTTCTGGTATGGAATATGCCTAAGATCTGGTCTGTCTCCGTCTATAATGGACTTAAGCAAGCAAGTCAAAGTCTCTTTAATTGGCGGAAACCTAACCTCAGGGCAGACGGCGGATGAGTCCTGTAGAAAGAAAGATTTGTTAGTAATATTCTATATCTTAGAACGATGATTTACTATAGACACTGAGACTTACTGCAGCTGGTTCGGGAAGCGTTCCGGGAAACGGCTTCGTGATCCTGAGATGGGCATTTCTTGTGGCATTGGTGGCAGCTGAGGGCGAGTTTGTTCCTGTAACTGTCGATTCCATTCGGGTTGTGTTCGTGGTCTTGGTTTGGACGTTGTCTGTAGTATTGGTGGCAGTTGGGCGCGAGCGTCTTCCTGTAACTGTTTATTCCGTCTAGTTTGCGAACAGTTGCGGCCATTCCCTTTCAGTCCGCAATGTGTGCAGACAGGACACTGTGGATAGTCTCGAATAATATGTCCTTCCTGGTAACAGTATCCACAAGGGCACTGTGGGCAGATAGACTTTATATGGCCCTCCAGACCGCAGTGTTTGCAAAATGGTCCATGTGGATTATACATCTTCACTGATGGGAAAGCCACTCTGCAGAATGTTGTTATAGAATAATAACCATTCTTGGTGTTACTGCGAGAAAGTAGTCCTTCCGAGTGATGTAGGATAGGGGGTGACAACAAGACAAACTGTAAAGAGGATAGATAGAGGAGCTAGAGGTTAAGGGGAAGTAAGGCTTGATGGAGAGGAGTCTGTGGTGGCCGGAGAATCAAGCTCATGAGGTACTCTATGCGTACGTTACTATGTCGTTGTTGCGTAAGATAAACGTGAACTTACTGTGTTTGGCGTGTATATCTACTTGACCCGTACATTTGCACGACCAAGGGTATGTCACTTCCCGATCTCGGGCTGCTACAGAGTACTGGGACTGTTTTGTGTCCTTATTTCCGGGTGTTTGCTAGATTTGCTATACTGGTTAGAGTACTAGGCAGGTTGGCACCCTATTCGGTAGCACGCCAGATATACTGTGGAAAGAAGATCTTGTTCTGTTACCCTACTCGATCTACGTGTGTATCCCCTGCTACAGCCTAAAACAGAACAAGCAGTTCTTGTTTATTGAACAAATCCTTCGATCCTTAGCTGTCTTAAGTCGACGAGGGGCATCAATGTGAATATAAGATAATGTATTTCAATTGAGACTCTCTAAGGTGGAGATTCTTTAATAAGCCTGAGCTATAGTCATAACTATGGACTAGTGTATGGTATCAGCGATAAATAGACTATAGAATGTTGATACTGCGGTTATTATTCTTGGACGTCGTCACTATGCAAGGTGACTGTACAGTATACCCTGCCCCAGACAACTCGGTATACTAGCCGAACGGCGACGTCGGTGTCTACTATCTATATCCGCTGCCTTTTCTGTAGCTAACGGTACAGCTAACAGGGTGTATTGGTAGCGGCTGCCTAAGAGAATCTATGTTTTGTTTAACTTGATCAAGTAGCGGTAAGGTGGCCGAGTGGTTAAGGCGTTTGACTTAAGTTCAAATGACGAATAGTCTCATGGGTTCGAACCCCATCCTTACCATTTTGCTTTCATTTTATTTGAATCACGTGACCTCTACATTCTAATTGGTTAATCTTTCATGCTGGCTACTACTCTAAATGTATTCCTAATTTCCCATATATAATTTATCACGTAGGGTGACTAGCCTGCTGGGAATTTTTACCACCACAGATCGCTGCCAGGTGCAGACATATATGACTTTTTGTGATTTTTTGATCCACTTTCGTAAAACAAGGGATGTTCAAAAGCCTATATGGACGACCACACCTACAGGGTGTGCCACCGCGGCTTACCTTTCTCTCTCCCTTTCCCCTGTGTGAGGAAGACTAGCGGAAATAAACTAACTTATTCGCTGGATTTACTTTCAGTATTCCTGCGTAAACCAAGGTCCTAAGTACAGATAGTATGTATTGGCATAGCGCAAGAACAAATATATACAGTGTCCATGGCCGTTCCGCAAGTAGGATACAAAGCCAATATGGTTGAACCACAGATCTTCCAAATGGTTTATAAGCCTCATTTACTCCTCTATTTTTTACGGTAAGTAGCCTCTATTAAAGAAGGTCGGACTGCCATTTGACTGTACATCACCCAGGACATGTTCTTGTATAGCTAGGTATGCCATTAGCCCTATGCTCGCTTTTCCATGGCTCTTGGCTTCCGCAAAAAGCCTTAAACCATTTAGATGGGAAATGGAAGGAAGGAGAATGAAAAGGCAAAGATGCGATTCTCATTGACTCAATGTTAGATTGTCCCAGTTCTCCCCTTCACGTTAACTGGAAGAGCCGGCTTGCGAGACGATCAACGTATGAAGCCTAAATACCTTAGTCCGCCATGCTAAGCTATTCGTGTTAGTCTGGGGTGGCTTTAGGTATACGAAATTTGGTTGGGCAACCATGGGATATTCGCTAGGAACCCTCTTCGCAGTCAATTCTATGCCTGCTCTAGTCTGGACAGGTGGGTTTATTTTTATACGGGATAACACAGATTAGCTCCAATGCGGCACCACGAAGAGCTACTCTATGTCTAAATAGTAACTGAATTCTAGAAGATTATCTATATCACCATTTACTACCAATATTCCCTTTTGTGGCGGAAGCAGGAGATTTCTCCACGGGGTTACTCTGTCATAGAACGATGAGGATAAATGGCCAACAAACCCTAATGTAGTTATATTTGTTTATCTAGACCATTGACCGACCAAAAACAGGACATGGCATGCTAAAGATTTCGAGATTGACTTTCGTTGGGAACCGATACGTGGATACATGGCATAAGAGGAAGAGCCAAGGGCCAAGAGAGACAGATAGGAACTAAGGAGATGATACGATCGTGAAGGAAATAAAAATTCTTAGGTCTAACATGACAGTACATTAGACGTAGATGCCCATGTTGGTATCCTTCTTCTTGGCTTGTACTTCCGCGATAGCATCGACGTAGTTTTCGTGTCCGACCTTGCTCATTCCCTTCCGGAGAGCGATCATACCGGCCTCGACGCAGACGGCCTTGAGTTGGGCACCGCCGAATTCATCCGTGCTGCGGGCCAGTTCGGCCCAGTTGACGCTGTCGTCTACGGCCATCTTGCGGGAGTGGATCTGCAGGATGTTGGCACGGGCTTCCTCGTTAGGGAGGGGGAACTCGATCTTGCGGTCCAGACGGCCGGAACGGAGGAGAGCAGGGTCTAGGACGTCGACACGGTTGGTGGCAGCCAGAACCTTGATGCGGTCGTCGGAGGCGAAACCGTCCAGCTGATTGAGGAGTTCCAGCATGGTTCGTTGCACCTCGCGGTCACCGGACTTTTCAGAATCGAAACGTTTTGTGCCAACTGCGTCGAGTTCGTCGATGAAGATGATCGAGGGCGCCTTCTCCTTGGCGAGAGCGAAGCAGTCGCGGACGAGTTTGGCTCCGTCACCAATGAACATCTGCACCAGTTGGGGGCCTGCGAGTTTGAGGAAGGTAGCGTTTGTCTCTGCAGCACAGGCTCGGGCGAGGAGGGTCTTTCCGGTACCGGGGGGACCGTACATCAGAGCACCTAGAGAGTATGAGTATTGGTATATTCCTTGGATGGGCTGGACGGCAAGAGGGTCATTTACCTTTCGGTGCCTTGATGCCGAGCTTCTTAAACCGGTCGGCTTCCTTCATCGGCCATACTATAGCTTCGACAATTTCTTCAATTTGCTTATCCAGACCTCCAATATCTGTGTACTTCTCTGTTGGCTTTTCGTCGACCTCCATGGCCTTCACTCGGTTATCATATTCGGCGGGTAATGTATCGAGGACGAGATATGAATCCTTATTTACACCAATGAGATCACCGGGCTTGAGCTTCTCATGATCTACCAGACCAATGAGGGGGAGATAGATGGTTTGACGGGTCGAGGTTTTGATGACAGCAGACTTGCCGACGCGAGTAGCATCGAGGTCGATGTTGGCACCCTCTTCGGCGGCTTCAGCCTCGACGTCCAAATCCAACAATTCAACCACATTTCCGACAAGGTATGGTAGTTGTCTAGAGAAGAAAATGTTAATAGAAATGTCCTGACATACAATAACACAATGACATATGCCGCGACAGTCCAGACCCTACCCCCTCGCCACCATGGGTAATGCGACCCAGCCAGCTTCGAAAGAAGGGAATGGGAGATCCAGCATATCTCAGAACCCCATACCTGTTGTTTTCGATCTTCTCTTGATTATCTTTCACCTTTTCTCTCATGGTACTCTGTTCGTGCGTCAACCGTTGGTATTCACTCTTCATTATACGCATTTCGTTCTCCAGCATCCGCCGTCGCTTGACGATGTCCGCTGTGCTCGATTGTAGAATGTCATCGTCCAAGAGGTTCTCTTCGTCGTCCTTCTTCTCAGCGTCTTTCATGTCAGCGTCTCCGTCTCCGGAGGGCTTCCTGCCGTTGCCGTCGCCATCTTGGGGCTTCTTTTCTCTCTCTTCACGGTCAAGGTCGTCGAGATCCTCTAAGGTCGACATGATGGTGGGTAAGAATTAATTATGCGGGTAAGAGCAAGATGAGAGATAGATAAGTATTCTAGGAGGGAATGAGAGGGGGGGCGGCGGTGATGCGTTACGGGATGGGTCTTGCGGGAAGAGCGTGAGAGCTGTTGAGCTCCGGACCAAACAACGTCAGCTGCTGGGTGCCTATCACGTGATACACTGACAAATGCCTTGCCCGTTGATGCCTCAGGTTATGAATGGTATAGTTCGCATTCTACACGAGGGTACCATTTGAATTGTGCAAATTCCCTATCCTTTTCATCTTCGCTTAAAGCAAGGCATGTACCCTGTCTTCAAGTATACATTCCCCATATACCGCAGAATATGTACAACTACCCACTCTCCATGCACAACTCTCGGCAGAACTTAGAAGCAAGTTGCCGAAGACTCCTATATACGGATTCTCCTTACAGGAAGAAGTTAGGATTGTCCATACTTCTCAGAAAGTTACCTATGTTGTTCAGGATCTTCTCTCTGCCGAACCTCAAGAGGCGATAACGCGAAACGAAGTCATCGCTGTTGACTGAGCGGGGTTAGCATGTTCTCGCAAGGAATCGTTGCACCGTACGGATCTCTGTGAGGTTGGTACTACTTACTGTATCCACCACACATCCTCCGCTTTCCGGTGAATTCGGAGCGACCATGAAGCATTCTCCAGTTGTCGAAGACTGAGACAATCAGCCAAATCCTATACCTCCTCGAGAGGATCGTATTCAAACCAATACTTACTAAGTGCTGTTCCTGGCTCTAGCTGTGTCCATATCTGCATTTTCTCACGTGTGACGATATCGTTGAAGTGCCGGGCTGCATTGTACCATCTATTCTGCTGTTCCAAGTTCCAATCTTTTTTAGCCGCCCGATCATAGTTGTTCCAGCGGATTTGGTACAGGTAATTGAACTGCGGGTGGATCCTGAAAATGGGCATTTGCTCTGCGGGCTGGATGCAGGTATCCTCATTGCCGCTTGAATGGAACGGCTGTGGCGTTGCTGCTAGCAATTGGTAGTTCTCTGGATTCTCTGCTCGCAGGACTTCTGCAGCCGAAAAGCCATCGACAAGTAAGCTCGCGCCTCCATCACCGTCGGTATGTGACAATAGATGGAACAGTTGAAGCCGTGCCGGGTCAGTGAAATACGTGTTATCTGTATGTGCACCAAGAAACTCTGTGGTATACGCAGTGTCCTTGAACGTTAAATCGGCCGTAAAATCCCAAAAGCCACCTTTGCTTAATCAGAACAAAGACTCGAGAGCATATTTTGTACCGGATAGAAGGGTTTACCATAGTGAGTATGTCTGATAAAAGCGATTCTCTCCAGGAGGGTTTTGGTTGATTCCGGGTCAACGGGGACACCCTTGACGAAGCAGAAGCCGTGGAGGTACTTTATAGCGGTTAGATAGTGATCTAAAACAAAAGGAGTAGCCAAGACGTACAATTTTGTGAAGCCATTCATGCAAACCCTCGTCACTAGACATGACATCTTCATATAAGACTGTTGGGTAAGAGATACTCTCAGGATTGTGGGTGATAAACTCTCTACACAAGAGTGTCAGTATAACACAACTTCATATCCAAAAGAGCACATTTACCTCATTTTGTCATTTGGGCGTGACTCGTTAACAACACAATTGTCAAACGTCGCAAGATTGTTTAGCCAATGGACTGGGTAGACACCCTGGTGACCATCAGACCCTTCCATGCCGTTAGCTCTGACATCCAGGACAAGAGAATGGGAGGCATACACTGTACTTTAGCGATTTCCCCCTCGTAGGTGGTTTTCTCCGGGTTAACATCAGGTGGTATCTAAGCGAAGAAGATTGTCAATCTATAACGATCTCAGAGCCTTGAATTGGAAACTTACGGAGAAAGTGTCTACGCTTCGTTGTCTTGTATCTGGATGGACACACTTTGAACACTGGCAATTGTCTCTGATATCGGAGACAGTCAAATAAGTATTCTTGGCCTGTCTTCTAGGCGTGTTGATACATACCGAAGCCAAAATCGTCCACTACATAGAG